AACTTCTTTATACAGTACTATCTGGTAAATTCTTCATACACAAACACAAATATTTGAAATCTGTGCCTAAATGCAATGTTTTTCTACTTGAACTTGAATATTTATAAAAATATCTAAATGACAAACAATATATTCTTACATTATAATTTTTTAAAACAAATGTAATCCTTTTAAATTAGTATCTGCAAATGGAATAAAAAACTTGTGCGTAGTGAGGTTTATTTTATTTATTTAATTTGTATAGATTCAAAAATATATTTATATTGTTTGTTTTTCATTGTATTTTCCACTGATAAAAAAAAAAATTCTACTTCTAGTCACGTCCCTGTACATGGATGGAAAATCAATGATAGAAGCACACCTCTGCCGATAAAATGTGCATATCATTTGGAGCGAATATTAGATCATTCACTTGAAAATCGATATACAAGTGGATGAAAATCTAGCTATTGTCTTCATATAGTGGAAGGAAATATAGGTCTATGGTTCTGGAAACATTTGTCTGACCCTTTCTCTCTGTTAGTATGTGTGATCTAGTGCAAGCTTGTTCCAAGTAGAACCGTTTTGGGGGTTAATTATGCATTAGTCAGTCATAATGACTGTTTACTGTTTTGTGCATCTATCAAGTAAGAAATAAACAAGTACAATATTGAGTTTATTTATTGTACAAATATGCATATTACTAGCATTCAGTCCAGCAAGTTTATTCAAGGGGTAAATGTTTAAACAGGTTTTATAACACTATCATACAAAAACAAAGAATCATAATTATCATATCACTCAAAATCACAAGGACACCAAATAACTATTGATCCTTGTTAAAGGCCTGGTCCAGTTAAAATCTTTCTACAACCTCAGACGAAATTAACATGACCAAAGTGTTAGAAATATGGTCAATGCTGTCAGGAAAAATATGACTTACAAATGCAGGAGTTCAGCACATTGTAATAGATATTGCTCTCAGAAGGGAGAATCAAACACTTGATAATGTAATTGCTTTGCAATTTCTCTCATCATAAAATAAGATGCTTTCTCCCACATAGGACTAATGCAGATGGGCATCATGATTATGTTTTCTGGTTAGTTAAAATATTCAGTTCGGGCATACTTATTATAATACATGACACCATCTACACCTGGTATATTACTAAGATATAAAATCCAAATGACAGACAATACAGTCACTTAAGTGTTTATGAAAATGTGTCCATGTCTTCTTTCAACATGTGATCATTCACAATAGGCATGGGGGTATTATGAGATTATGATCTATTTCTAAATGTGTCCAGCATGCCTGCAACAAGTCCACTCTGATATTGGATTTCACACTGAAATTACTAATAGACATTATAAACTGGGTAGTTTGGGTCCTGGATGCTGGTTGGCTGAAACAGCATTTCAGCCGTGTGTACATCAGACAATATACCACGGTATGATGGAAAAATACTTGTTTACTGTTCTATTTATGTTGGTAACCAGTTTATAATAGCAATAAGGCACCTCAGGGGTTTGTGGTATATGGCCAATATACCACACCTCCTCTGGCCTTATTGCTTAAATATACTTGGACACCATCTCAACCCATTTTCTGGCCTGTCTTTCACGTGTCTTCTCTACACCTACAGCTAGATGTAAAACTTCACATGATGAAGGCATTTTGTGCTGGGTATTGGCATTTAAACTGGATTTCAACCCCCATTCTCATTGCCCTTGTCTGATACATAGCACTTACAGTACCTGGTAAAATAAGGGTTAAAGTACTCCTACAAAATGTCTCAAAAGGACCCTGTGGTTTTGTTAGGTCCCACAGAGGCATACATTTGCCTTGTGATAACCAACCTTAATGGCTATGCACAAGCTGTTCAATATGAAGATAATTTAGCCTTTTTGATGGAGTAAATAAAGATGAGCATCAAGCTCACACAAAAACAAACATAAATCAATGCTATCAGTACACAATAACTTTTGGAGATAGAGGCACTTTCACCAAATTTCCATTGCTACTGCACCTGATACCAGGGTAATATTCAGTAGGCAAACGTTGCGGAACATTGCAGATAGAATTGTAATGAAAAGAGTTGACGTGACTCAAGACTTTGAAAGAGATCGAAATATACAGTACCAGTCAACAGTTTGGACACACCTACTCATTCAAGGGTTTTTCTTTATTTTTTACTATTTTCTACATTGTAGAATAATAGTGAAGACATCAAAACTATGAAATAACACATATGGAATCATGTAGTAACCAAAAAACGGTTAAACCCTTTGCCTTGATGACAGCTTTCCACTCTTGGCATTCTCTCAACCAGCTTAATCTGGAATGCTTTTCCAACAGTCTTGAAGGAGTTCCCACATATGCTGAGCACTTGTTGGCTGCTTTTCCTTCACTCTGCGGTCCAACTCATCCCAAACCATCTCAATTGGGTTCAGGTCGGGTGATTGTGGAGGCCAGGTCATCTGATGCAGCACTCCATCACTCTCCTTCTTGGTAAAATAGCCCTTACACAGTCTGGAAGTGTGTTGGGTCATTGTCCTGTTGAAAAACAAATGATAGTCCCACAAAGCGCAAACCAGATGGGATGGCGTATCGCTGCAGAATGCTGTGGTAGCCATGCTGGTTAAGTGCGCCTTGAATTCTAAATAAATCACTGACAGTGTCACCAGCAAAGCACCCCCACACCATCACACGTCCTCCTCCATGCTTCACGGTGGGAACCACACATGCAGAGATAATCCGTTCACATACTCTGCATCTCACAAAGACATGGCGGTTGGAACCAAAACTCTCAAATTTGGACTCATCAGACCAAAGGACAGATTTCCACCGGTCTAATGTCCATTGCTCGTGTTTCTTGGCCCAAGCAAGTCTCTTCTTCTTATTAGTGTCCTTTAGTAGTGGTTTCTTTGCAGCAATTAGACCATGAAGTCCTGATTCAAACAGTCTCTTCTGAACAGTTGATGTTGAGATGTGTCTGTTACTTGAAATCTGTGAAGCATTTATTTGGGCTGCAATTTCTGAGGCTGGTAACTCTAATGAACTAATCCTCTGCAGCAGAGGTAACTCTGAGTCTTCCTTTCCTGTGGCGGTCCTCATGAGAGCCAGTTTCATCATAGCGCTTGGTTTTTGCGACTGCAGTTGAAGAAACTTTCAAAGTTCTTGACATTTTCCGTATTGACTGACCTTCATGTCTTAAAGTAATGGACTGTCGTTTCTCTTTGCTTATTTGAGCTGTTCTTGCCATAATATGGACTTGGTTTTTTACCAAATAGGGCTATCTTCTGTATACCACCCCTGGTTGAGAGAATGCCAAGAGCGTGCAAAGCTGTCATCAAGGCAAAGGGTGGCTATACTTTTTTGGTTACTACATGATTCCATATGTGTTATTTCATAGTTTTGATGTCTTCACTATTATTCTACAATGTAGAAAATAGTAAAAATAATGAAAAACCCTGGAATGAGTAGGTGTGTCCAAACTTTTGACTGGTACTGTATATATATTTTTTAAAAATCTATTCCTGAAGTGTACTTTTTGGAAATCAGGATTTTCCATGAAACCAACGTTATTCTACATGTTAGAGGCATTTTTGTTCTACATAATATATTTATATCTGGACGTTCCACAATGTTGTGCCCTGCTGAAAGCGGCCGATATCATTCACAGCTAAATGTTTCGCTTCAGAGTACAGCTTGACCAATCAATCTAATAACTGACAGGAAATTTTAAAAATCTAGACTTACTATAACATAATACTTATTATTCATGTTTACACATATTTATAACCATTCTCCTACAGCCATGATAAATCCTACTCTAATGAAATATTTTAGCACCATATAGTAGCCATCTGCGCATTGTGCAATGTAACCGTCGCCTACGATCACAGCGCCAGTACATGATCAGGGCAAATGCATCATTTGTGCAATGTGATATATTAAACAGTTTGATCGACTGAATGATCAATTGATTCATTAAACCCCTGAATAGCAAAACATACCCCTTAATATACCGTTCAGTTCATAGCAGTTATGTGCGATATAAAGCAAACAAAGTCAATTAAGAGAGCAAATGCAGAAACTAGCCATGAAACTACAGTACTGAAACCCAATAACTTTTCTTTGCCGTTCAGATTCCTATACAGCACACCATACTTCATAGTTTATTTGGAAAGAACTTCATCTCACCTTGATACTTAAAATGTGACCTTGCAACACAAAATAATATACAGTACTGAAATTATTTTGATAGAAAAGGTAAAGATAACCGAGGTGATCAACACAATGCAATTATAAATATGCAATTATGACTCATGAATATAACATTTACAAAACTCAGTTGTTATGTCCTCATAATCACTATGATGGGATGTGTGCGGTCAAATACAGGCATATTTTACATATTCTCAAGAAGAGGGCATTTAAGGGAATCACAAGACTCATTCATATACATGTTGTTCATATTTTTCTATAGTTCCAATGGCCAGTGCCCACCGCTCCCTTCAACTGTAGCCAAGTCAGGGAATAAAGGGGCAGGGCTTGAACCAGTAACCACACACACTGCCGTTAGCGCAGTCAAGACTAGCAACGTGGCAGTGTTGGTTCTTAGCAGTGTGATCACACAACTACAGCGCTTTGGTCAAGAAGACACAGTTGTGGCTTATCCAATATAAGGTTCTGTGGGCAACACGCGATAAACGTGTCCAGCCCTGGGCCCTAATATGAAGTTAAAAAGGTGTTTGAAACATTTTATTATCCCTGTAACTAAAAGAGAAGGCAAAAATAGAACATTGTGAAACAGTGAAAACTTGATGGAAGCGTGCATAGCAAGGCAAGAGTAAGCATGAGGATTTGTTGATTAGAGGAAATGGAGAGAAGAGCAATATTGACAGCATACACAGGGAAAACTATCAGTAGTAACCTTCCAGTCAAGTCTGGTATGGGTGGAGAACTAAATGAGATGAGCAACGATAATGGGACAAACAGCTAGAGTAGGCCACCATTAGTCATTGTAGTGTGTTGGGGATATAGTGACAGAAGTCAAGAAGGAGAGAGGGAGAGGTGAAGAAGGGGAAGGTATGGTGTCAGCCAGGTTATAGGTGGAGTTTGGGGAGGATGGTTGTGGGGATGACAAAGGGGTAAAAAGAGGCCTGGTGGCCGAGGGGGGCGGGGAGTGCAGAGCAGCAGTGACTGTGGTGGGCGAATCAGAGCTGACCTCGTCCCCTTCCTCCGAATCCCATACCTCACTCTGCAGGTAGTCCGCAAACAAGGCCTTGGCGCGCTGCAGCACCCTGCCCAGATTGTGTCTACGAACAAGGCGGTCAAAGTGCATAGCCAGCTCGTTGTAATCAAAGCTGTTCTTTATAATGTGGTCTCGATGCTCCAGCAGGATCGACAGGCACAGGAACAACATGAATGGATTTCCTTTGCCAAACTCTTGAGGAGGTGGCAGGGAACAAGGTTTGATGGTGGTATTCTCTGGTTTGGTTGAATTTGGAGTGTGGGGCGCGGTGCTGGAGGCTCTGCTGCAAGGAGATTGGAGGTTACTAGAAAAGGACTTGTTCACCGTTCCGACGGGCAGCGAAGGAAGAGCTCTCCCGAAGGACAAAATAGGCGAGGAGAGCAACGCTCGAGACAACAGCGGAGAGGAAACCAAGGACCTCCCTGTGGGGGTAGCGGGTGAGTTGGCTCCGGTTCCATTCGGCACCGAGGCAAAGGAAGCAAACCCTCTTGTGGCTTTCTCTGGCGACTCAACCCTTCCGTTGGGTAAAATGGGAGAGGTGAACTTTGGTGACGGGGTGTCTGGGGAGGCACCTCTCCAACTCGAGGGGGAGGGAGTGGACCCTGGAGACAGAGAGGAACCATTCTTCCAGCTTGGCAGGCCAGGGGGAAACGAGGAGGCCGGAGAGGCTATTTGTCCATTTGGGGAGCTCCTCTCCTCTGTATCTGGGTTGGAGGACTTGTCAACGTCCGTTATAAGATGCGCTCTCTCCCCTGGGTGCGAGGAGGCTTCCATCTCAACAGGACCCTCTGGTGGGGCTCTCTCCTCGAAATCTAAGCTGTCCTTGTTCCGTGCACTGTAGTATTTGAACTCGTCAAAACTGGTCTGCTTCTCGAAGGAAGGAACAGGCACATTGTTGTGCGCCTGCTCCTTTCCTACGTAAGGCATGTCAAAGTTCCCCTCACCCTCTCTTCTGGCTCCTCTGTCCTCCCTCTTTCCTTCCTCCATTTTGATCCTTCTCCCCCCATCTGCCTCCTCTCTTGAGGGCCTCAACATGTGTCGTCTCCGCTGCTTCTCTTTCTGCTCCCCTTCTTCACCAGCATCCCCTGTAATGGCGGGCCTCTTTTCAACACCACTCTCACATGTCACTATGGTCTGGTCTGTTTCTAGCGGCGGCCCAAGAAGCTCCACTTCTGTTTCAGGAGGGTCAGGGGGCAGGGAGCTCCAGGTGACCTCCAGCATCCTCAGGGCATCGTCGAAGGCAAACTCCCGTTTGAGTTCCAAGAGCAGCCAGCGGTAACAGAAGAACAGGTCATCAGCTCCGCGGGACACCAAATAACAGTAGAACTCGGGGTCGGAGTACTGCAGTAGCAGCTTCAGATGCTGGAACTTGACGGACATGAATTGGCCATCCGGGCAGAAGTTGCCCTCTAGGCGTTTCATGATGCCACAGAAACAGATGAATGCATGTGCCTCATTGTCCATGACGGCAAGTATCGGAGAAGCAATATCACTCATGCCTTGGCAGTACGACACCTACGAAACAAAGAGTTCAGAATAAATTAAACACAGCAAAAATATACAGGGCACCAGACTAAGATTTCTCCCTGGTGCCACTAACGTTTTCAGTTGGTGGCACCAGCCCATGATTTTGGCGTCACGCAATAGAAAAAATGTGTAATCATTCACAGTCCTTTATTAAGAGGTGTAATAGACTACTGAGATGATATTCAAGAAACAAGTAGTTTCATCTAAACATGTGCATGCAGGAATGCATGATTCAAGATATTTTGATGTGCAACCTAATACAGTGATTGTCAAATCTTGGGTTGACAATTAGGCTATTGTTGTTCTATTTTACTGTTAAAATAGGGCTTCAGAATTGTATTTTGTTCAATAGAGATACATTTGCCTACATCTTTATATGCATTAATATCATAGGCTAATTTATTTGGGGCTAATTCACCACCTGAGTAAGTGGAAACTCAAAACACATTAGCTACAGTGAGGGAAAAAAGTATTTGATCCCCTGCTGATTTTGTACATTTGTCCACTGACAAAGAAATTATCAGTCTATAATTTTAATGGTAGGTTTATTTGAACGTGAGAGACAGAATAACAACAACAAAATCCAGAGAAACGCATGTCAAAAATGTTATAAATTGATTTGCATTTTAATGAGGGAAATAAGTATTTGACCCCCTCTCAAATCAGGAAGATTTCTGGCTCCCAGGTATCTTTTATACAGGTAATGAGCTGAGATTAGGAGCACACTCTTAAAGGGAGTGCTCCTAATCTCATCTTGTTACCTGTATAAAAGACACCTGTCCACAGAAGCAATCAATCAATCAGATTCCAAACTCTCCACCATGGCCAAGACCAAAGAGCTCTCCAAGATGTCAGGGACAAGATTGTAGACCTACACAAGGCTGGAATGGACTACAAGACCATCGCCAAGCAGCTTGGTGAGAAGTGCGATTATTCGCAAATGGAAGAAACACAAAATAACTCTCAATCTCCCTCGGCCTGGGGCTCCATGCAAGATCTCACCTCGTGGAGTTGCAATGATCATGAAAACGGTGAGGAATCAGCCCAGAACTACACAGGAGGATCTTGTCAATGATCTCAAGGCAGCTGGGACCATAGTCACCAAGAAAACAATTGGTAACACACTACGCCGTGAAGGACTGAAATCCTGCAGCGCCCGCAAGGTCCCCCTGCTCAAGAAAGCACATATACAGGGCCATCTGAAGTTTGCCAATGAACATCTGAATGATTCAGAGGAGAACTGGGTGAAAGTGTTGTGGTCAGATGAGACCAAAATCACGCTCTTTGGCATCAACTCAACTCGCCATGTTTGGAAGAGGAGGAATGCTGCCTATGACCCCAAGAACACCATCCCCACTGTCAAACATGGAGGTGGAAACATTATGCTTTGGGGGTGTTTTTCTGCTAAGGGGACAGGACAACTTCACCGCATCAAAGGGACGATGAACGGGGCCATGTACCGTCAAATCTTGGGTGAGAACCTCCTTCCCTCAGCCAGGGTATTGAAAATGGGTATTCCAGCATGACAATGACCCAAAACACACGGCCAAGGCAGCAAAGGAGTGGCTCAAGAAGAAGCACATTAAGGTCCTGGAGTGGCCTAGCCAGACTCCAGACCTTAATCCCATAGGAAATCTGTGGAGGGAGCTGAAGGTTCGAGTTGCCAAACGTCAGCCTCGAAACCTTAATGACTTGAAGAAGATCTGCAAAGAGGAGTGGGACAAAATCCCTCCTGAGATGTGTGCAAACCGGGTGGCCAACTACAAGAAACGTCTGACTTCTGATTGCCAACAAGGGTTTTGCCACCAAGTAGTCATGTTTTGCAGAGGGGTCAAATACTTATTTCCCTCATTAAAATGCAAATCAATTTATAACATTTTTGACATGCGTTTCTCTGGATGTTTTTGTTGTTATTCTGTCTCTCACTGTTCAAATAAACCTACCATTAAAATTATAGACTGATCATGTCTTTGTCAGTGGGCAAACGTACAAAATCAGCAGGGGATCAAATACTTTTTTCCCTCACTGTAGATCACTAACTCTAAACATAATACCCACTGCCGGTAGCCATGTATTAAGGGATTACTTGGGATGGGGGTCACTTTTATTTTCTTGCTTTGGGGAGGATTTTTTTATTGGGCACAGGGGAGGATAGTGCATTTTCCCCCCGGTTTCCATTTGCCGTTTTACTATATAATTTCTTCCATCCTAGCCAAATTTCCTCATCTGCTTGCCTCCCCTCAAGGTGCTTTGGTACTTTCCTTATGCACAACACTTTTCGGCATGCTAATTATACACAGTCTACCAGTCGATCCTGCCCTCTATCCACCATTCATAGTGACATTAGTGGTAGGTGGATTGTTTGTCCAGATCTGCAAATCAGCTAACTAGTAATCATACCACACATAAAATCATTCAAAGCTTTCAATATAAATCCAAAACAACAAAGAGGAATAGCTGATAGGCAGCGGAGAGGCCATTGTGCATGAAAAGAACAGTTAAGTGATGAGATACGCTGCTCCAAAAAGTTCCCCTATTGATCTTATTTAGGGACAATAAAATTATCCAACCTAGACTAGCCAACAACAGCACAATGCATTGAATAATTGCATTATTGTTTTCAAATGAGTACAAGATTCTACTCTAGGCTGTAAAATGCAGTGAATGTCATTTGAATAACGGTGCAAAAGCCCTGTGATTTGAATGCTTCATTCCGAATTAACTCCATCTAGCCAAGGCAACCATTTGGATCAGTTGTGGGTCTACTCTCGACAGGTTATAGGACTTAATAATTGAAGTTTGGAGGAGTGCGTCCGGTTGGATGAGAGGCTCTCTTTGGAAATGAGGATGGGCACTTTAAGCAAAATGAAGTATGCAGGTAGGCATATGTGTATGTTTTAGGATGTGCAGTATTTTTCAATTCAAGGCACTCTCACGAATGGACGATTTAAACACCTTTTATGGATAGGCTACAAGGCCAGGATAAAAGAAAGACACCCGACGACACATTGCTGTTGAACCAGACTCCGTTACAGTAGGATAAGGGTAGCCTACTGAGGGCTTGGTTTTTAATCAAGTGAAACCAAAACAAGCAGCTGTTACAGTAAAGTAACTTAAACGTTTCTAATAAAAGAGGGTCGCTGCACTGGCATCATCTCATTTCTCGTTTCATGATGGGCATATGGACATATATGGAGGGGGTTTTAAGCACGTCCAAAATAATAATTAGGAGCTGGCTAAAATAATGCACAATACAAAGATAAAGAGGGGATGTCTGCTCACTGTTTTGCTGCTGCCAGACTAGATCTTTTAATAAAGCTTTGGTGATTAACATTTATTTCAAAGCAGTCTCACGAGCCAAAGCCTTAAAAAGGACAAGAAAGGCACAGTAGCAGGCCAGTCTGGCTGGATTTCTGCTTCTGGTACTGAGATGTGCTGTCTGTTGTGGTTCATCATTCTCCCAACTCCTCCTATAATAATGTGGCCACATATGCTTCCAGCAGGCCCAGTTATCCAGGAAAGCTTAATGCACGCTCTGCTTCCTCTACGATCCGAGCGGCTATTCCTCGTGCACTTTGAACCTGACGTGTCAATATAGCCTAAATATATTTGTCATTTAACTTTTAAAATGCATGGCATTTTACAGTGGGGAAAAAAAGTATTTAGTCAGCCACCAATTGTGCAAGTTCTCCCACTTAAAAAGATGAGAGAGGCCTGTAATTTTCATCATAGGTACACGTCAACTATGACAGACAAAATGAGGGAAAAAAAACCAGAAAATCACATTGTAGGATTTTTAATGAATTTATTTGCAAATTATGGTGGAAAATAAGTATTTGGTCAATAACAAAAGTTTCTCAACACTTTGTTATATACCCTTTGTTGGCAATGACACAGGTCAAACGTTTTCTGTAAGTCTTCACAAGGTTTTCACACACTGTTGCTGGTATTTTGGCCCATTCCTCCATGCAGATCTCCTCTAGAGCAGTGATGTTTTGGGGCTGTCGCTGGGCAACACGGACTTTCAACTCCCTCTATGGGGTTGAGATCTGGAGACTGGCTAGGCCACTCCAGGACCTTGAAATGCTTCTTACGAAGCCACTCCTTCGTTGCCCGGGCGGTGTGTTTGGGATCATTGTAATGCTGAAAGACCCAGCCACATTTCATCTTCAAGTCTCCCGAGTGGCGCAGTGGTCTGTGCCACTAGAGATCCTGGTTCGAATCCAGGCTCTGTCGTAGCCGGCCGCGACCGGGAGACCCATGGGGCGGCGCACAATTGGCCCAGCGTCGTCCAGGGTAGAGGAGGGAATGGCCGGCAGGGATGTAGCTCAGTTGGTAGAACATGGCGTTTGCAACGCCAGGGTTGTGGGTTTGATTCCCACGGGGGGCCAGTATGAAAAATTCAAAAAGAAAATATGTATGCACTCACTAACTGTAAGTCGCTCTGGATAAGAGCGTCTGCTAAATGACTAAAATGTAAATGTAATGCCCTTGCTGATGGAAGGAGGTTTTCACTCAAAATCTCACGATACATGGCCCCATTCATTCTTTCCTTTACACGGATCAGTCGTCCTGGTACCTTTGCAGAAAAACAGCCCCAAAGCATGATGTTACCACCCCCATGCTTCATAGTAGGCATGGTGTTCTTTGGATGCAACTCAGCATTCTTTGTCCTCCAAACACGACGAGTTGAGTTTTTACCAAAAAGTTCTATTTTGGTTTCATCTGACCATATGACATTCTCCCAATCCTTTTCTGGATCATCCAAATGCACTCTAGCAAACTTCAGACGGGCCTGGACATGTACTGGCTTAAGCAGGGGGACACGTCTGGCACTGCAGGATTTGAGTCCCTGGCGGCGTAGTGTGTTACTGATGGTAGGCTTTGTTACTTTGGTCCCAGCTCTCTGCAGGTCATTCACTAGGTCCCCCCGTGTGGTTCTGGGATTTTTGCTCACTGTTCTTGTGATCATTTTGACCCCACGGGGTGAGATCTTGCGTGGAGCCCCAGATCGAGAGAGATTATCAGTGGTCTTGTATGTCTTCCATTTCCTAATAATTGCTCCCACAGTAGATTTCTTCAAACCAAGCTGCTTACCTATTGCAGATTCAGTCTTCCCAGCCTGGTGCAGGTCTACAATTTTGTTTCTGGTGTCCTTTGACAGCTCTTTGGTCTTGGCCATAGTGGAGTTTGGAGTGTGACTGTTTGAGGTTGTGGACAGGTGTCTTTTATACTGATAACAAGTTCAAACAGGTGCCATTAATACAGGTAACGAGTGGAGGACAGAGGAGCCTCTTAAAGAAGAAGTTACAGGTCTGTGAGAGCCAGAAATCTTGCTTGTTTGTAGGGGACCAAATACTTATTTTCCACCATAATTTGCAAATAAATTCATAAAAAATCCTACAATGTGATTTTCTGGATTTTTTTCTTCTCAATTTGTCTGTCATAGTTGACGTGTACCTATGATGAAAATTACAGGCCTCTCTCATCTTTTTAAGTGGGAGAACTTGCACAATTGGTGGCTGACTAAATACTTTTTTTCCCCCACTGTATATGCAGCATAAACACAACCAGTCAATGTTTTCATCTGATTAGAAAAGTCTCCTGTAGGCTACTTGCGCATGTTCGTCCACGCTAATATAATTCCAGCATCCAAACAGTGCAATGTGCACCGGCCATTTGATGAATGGAAAAAGACGTTACAAAACATCAAAAAGTTTAATGACATTAGGAGATTGTCAAGCTAAGCCTTCGATATAAGATAGGGAGGGATGCATTTACTCTTTTTCGAGAATGACAGTATTTGATTGTGGTGTTGAAAACGCAAACCATGATGTTGAAGTGCCATATTCTTTACTTATTGGTTGTGCGGTGGCACAGAAACCGGTTGGTGGAAGATTTGTTGAATATATTTTATATCATAAATGTAGCATGTAAATGTTGAAAATCTGATGCCCTCCTAGCTGATCATTGTCTGCAGCCGGCTCTGACCGTAGTGTAATGAAACGGGCAGGGAGAGTGAGCTCGTCCGTGGTGGTCGGCGAACCCTCAACCTTCTGGCCCATAACCCTGCATGGCATCGACTGTGCCACAAAAGCATGCTGAATCCCCCCCTTGAATGATCCCTAATCTAATAGTAAATTCAATGTCCTAAAAAAACTTCACAATGAGGCCTGCAATGGCTGATGCGCTTTTAGCTCGCTACGTATCTCAAAGTAATTTCAAATATCTTGGTTGTAAAATAGAGCTCAATATTAAGAGTCAAGAAATACAAATTGTACCTACAGAAAGCTGATAATCTCCTCTCTTCAACAGTGACAATAGTAATTGAAATGGTATAGCCTACAATCAGAACAAATGTTTTTCTCCCAGAGTATGGGGGAGAGGGAGTGCGTGGCTCGCTAATCACAGCAGAAGGCCCCAGCGAAACAGGCACAGGGCAGAGACTTTCATTACAGGAATCATGAGGATAATGCACATTACTGTTTGACCAAATCATGGTTTTAGTAGCTTAAAAAATAGGATGTTTGGAGTGAGGTGAGCATGTAGAATGTGAGATCGCATCAATGCGACCAAATATAATATAATATAACAAGTCAAAGGGTCGCAAGATGCGACTAAATGGTCGCAGTCTGGAGCCCTGACATATGATCTCCAACAACTGGGCTTACATATCACTGCAGGCAGACTGAGTTTACTAATCATAACTCAATAGCAAATAATCAGAATCTAAGATGCCAAACAGGGGAGAGGGGAGAAAGGAGGGGAGGGGAGAGGAGATGAGATGAGGAGGAGGGAAGAGATGAGATGAGGAGGGAAGAGGAGATGAGATGAGGAAGGAAGAGGAGAGGAGATGAGGAGGGGAGGGGAGAGGAGATGAGGAGGGGAGGGGAGAGGAGATGAGGAGGGAAGGGGAGAGGAGAGCAGAGCAGAGCAGAGCAGAGCAGAGGAGAGCAGAGGAGAGGAGAAGAGGAGTTGAGCATATCCTTCGTTCACTGCATTTATAATACCAAACCCTTTAGCATGTCTGCATGTCAAGGAAATTAAAAAGAATGCAAACAAAATATAGATCCCCACACCTGTGGATGTGTAATGGCAAAGGTGGTAAGCAGGTCGGTGAGAGCAGTGAGGTGGGGGCTGTCCTCTGAGCCGGCGTAATAGGGATGGGCCCGGTCGGTCCTCAGGACGTCCTTCAGTACGTTGCCCCTGATGAACTCCAGGTCCTCTGGACTGGCCCTTGCTGACCACTCCCCCTTCAGCTGGTCATACTCCCTAGTCTTGCTCTTCATGTAGTCCATTCTCTCCTGACCGGTCAGCCCATCGGGGTACACGTTCAGGAGGTATCGCCAGACAACCTGGGCACAGAGGAAAGGGTTTTTGACATACAGGATATAGCTAAAATCTCTGCGTTCATATAACACAGTAATATATAAATATAGCTCTCCTACCTCCAAATGGCATTTCTTTGTGCTATTTTTTCTTGTTCCACATTGAATGACCTACATAGATAGTCTGTTTACACTCCAAAATACAACAAGGATACACCCAAATGCTCTATTCCCACATCTAATCCACATTTTAGGAAATTATTAACATCCAAAGAGCATAAGTAAACACTTCCCGTCAATGTTTTGGAGAACATATGCCCTTCTCAATCGCAACTCAAATGTTGCATAAATCTCCCATTGACATCAATGCAAGGTTTAGGGGAAAGTCTAAGTTACACACACTCAAGTTAGGATTCGGCCCTATGTGATTTGATCTGATATTTCAGCAATTTCAAATTAGATTTGTGAAACTGTCTGGTATTGAGGGTTAAAAAAGCTGTCCGGTAGCAGACTTGCTGTTGGAATCGCTCAGTGAATGTCCAATTACCTTGCGTAGAGAGGGCTCCACCCCACCATGATAGATGCGCAGCCTCAGTTCCTCTGGCCGGGACAGCTGGCCCTGGCCATTGAGGTAACTGTGGAACTCGGCATCACTCAGAGGGGGCTTGAAAGGCTTCACCTCCTCCCCGTACGACCAGCTCAAGGCCTGCTGTACTCTGGACAGCGTTCGACCCATCATCTGAACAGAGACAGACAGCGAGAGTTTAAACCCCAGGTGGGTCATTGGAAGCAACACTAACCTAGTGGACATATTTAGCATTAGCAGAAGGTCCTGACTCAAGGCAGCACTGACTGGATGGTAAAAAATATGGCTGACAGTGTGAAGAGCGAGAGTGTCGTCAGTAACCTGGGACAGCAGGGACTGGGTGAAGGGAAGGGCGGCAGCCGCCAAGGACCTCCTATCCCCAGGAAGCTGGTCAGAACCAATCACATCTTTGGGGCTTATTATGTCCCATTCTTCCATAACGGGACCTTAAGGGAATAAGAAAGTGGGAAAACGAGGTGATCGATCAATGAATGTATGAAGGAGAGGCCCACAAATATATTACAAAAAAAGTTAAAAATGGGGAAGAGATGCTTGGTACAAACTACACTGAACAATTTCAAAGATTTTACTGTGTTACCGTTCATATATAAATCAGTCAATTGAAATAAGTTCATTAGGCCCTAATCTATGGATTTCACGACTGGGAATACAGATATGCATCTGTTGGTCACAGATCACTTTTAAAAAACGTAGGTGCGTGGATCAGAAAAAGTCAGCAGCGCGACATCTCCTTCGCATAGAGTTGATCAGGTTGTTGATTGTGGCCTGTGGAATGTTGTCCGACTCCTCTTCAATGGCTGTAAGAAGTTGCTGGATATTGGTGGGAATTGGAACACACTATTGTACACGTCGATCCAGAGCATCCCAAACATGCTCAATGGGTGGTGACGTTTATTTATTTCATTTTCAGCTTCTGGGAATTGTGTACAGTTCCTTGCGACATGGGGCCATGCATTATCATGCTGAAACACGAGGTGATGGCGGTGGATGAATGGCACGAAAATAGGCCTCAGAATCTCGTCACGGTATCTCTGTGCATTACAATTGCCAACGATAAAATGCAATTGTGTTCGTTGTCCGTAGCTTATGCCATTGCATACCATAACCCCACCACCACGGGGCACTCTGTTCACATCAGCAAACCACTCGCCCACACGACATCGTCCTCACCAGGGTCTTGCGCTGACTGCAGTTCGGTGTTTTAACCGACATCAGTGGGCAAATGCTCTCCTTCGATGGCCACTGGCTTGCTGGAGAAGTATGCTCTTCACGGATTAATCCCGGTTTCAACTGTACCAGGCAGATTGCAGGCAGACGGATGAGCTTCCCTGAGATGAGCTTCCCCGAGACAGTTTCTGACAGTTTGTGCATAACTTCTTCGGTTGTGCAAACCCACAGTTTCATTAGCTGTCCGGGTGACTGGTTTCAGACGATCCCGCAGGTGAAGAAGCCGGATGTGGAGGTCCTGGGCTGGTGTGGTTACACGTGGTCTACGGTTGTGAGGCCGGTTGGACGTACTGCCAAATTCTCTAAAACGACATTGGAGGTGGCTTATTGACATTCAATGCTCTGGCAACAGTTCTGGTGGACATTCCTGCGGTCAGCATGCTAATTGCACGCTCCCTCAAAACTTGAGACATCTGTAGCATTGTGTTGTGTGAGAAAACTGCAGATTTTAGAGTGGCCTTTAATTGTTAATACTGAATCACACACACACACCAAATCAACGACTGTACCAGTTCTTAGTGGTGACCCAAAGGAACACAAACAGAGACTGACATTAACAAGAGATTGGCTTTCACTAAATGACCTAAATGGATATACAAGTGAATGTTTGACAAGTCTGCTTACTGTCTTCGGAGAGATGAATGTCCATCTTGAGCTGTAGATAAGGTTTAGCAGCACTGACAAAAGCAGCATCTAAATCCCAGTCAGAAAGGAGAGAGAGATACACTTCCACACCTCCACGGTCCCGGGAGAGGTAACTTATCCCAAAGTTGCGTTTGCTAATTAGGAAACAAGAAAAAAAAATAGATTTTAAAAAAGCTGATATCTATTCTAGAAAGCATGGCAATCCAAATACAGTGCATTTGGAAAGTATTCAGACCCCTTGACTTTTTCCCCATTTTGTTACATTACAGCCTTATTCTAAAATAGATTAAATAAAAATGTGTCCTCAATATACACACAATACCCCATAATCACAAAGCAAAAACAGCTTTAAATAAATAAAAACACTGAAATATCACATTTACATAAGTATTCAGACCCTTTACTCAGTACTTTGTTGAAGGACCTTTGGCAGCGATTACAGCCTTGAGTCTTCTTGGGTATGACGCTACAAGCTTGGCACACCTGTATTTGGGGAGTTTCTCCCATTCTTCTCTGCAGATCCTCTCAAGCTCTGTCAGGTTGGATGGGGAGCGTTGCTGCACAGCTATTATCAGGTCTCTCCAGAGATGTTCGATCGGGTTCAAATCCGGCCTCTGGCTGGGCCACTCAAGGACATTCAGAGACTTTCCTGAAGCCACTCCTGCGTTGTCTTGGCTGTGTGCTTAGGGTCGTTGTCCTGTTGCAAGGTGAACCTTTGCCCCAGTCTGAGGTCCTGAGCACTCTGGAGCAGGTTTTCATCAAGGATCTCTGTACTTTGCTCTGTTCATCTTTCCCTTGATCCTGACTAGTCTCCCAGTCCCTGCCGCTGAAAAACATCCCCATTGCATGATGCTGCCACCACCATGCTTCACCGTAGGGATGGCGCCAGGTTTCCTCCAGACGTGACGCTTGGCATTCTGGCCAAATAATCTTGTTCTGAGTCCTTTAGTTCCCCTTTGGCAAACTCCAAGCGGGCTGTCATGTGCCTTTTACTGAGGAGTGGCTTCCGTCTGGCCACTCTACTATAAAGGCCTGATTGGTGGAGTGCTGCAGAGATGGTTATCCTTCTGGAAGGTTCTCCCATCTCCACAGAGGAACCCTGGAGCGCTGTCAGAATGACCATCGGGTTTTTGGTCACCTCCCTTACCAAGGCCAGGTGGCTAGCTCTTGGAAGAGTCTTGGTGGTTCCAAACTTCTTCCATTTAAGAATGATGGAGGCCACAGGTGGTTTACCACAGGTGGACTCCAATCAAGTTGTAGAAACATCAAGGATGATCAATGGAAACAGGATGCACCTGAGCTCAATTTCGAGGGTCTGAATACTTATGTAAATAAGGCATCCGTTTTTTTTTAAAAATAAATTTTCACAAACAAAACAACTTTTCACTTTGTCATAATGGGGTAAAAATTCATTTAATCCATTTAATCCAAGTCTGTAACGTAACAAAATGTGGAAAAAGGGAAGGGGTCTGAATACTTTCCAAATGCACTGTATGTCCCACTCCATCATTTCTTTAAACTTTACTGTAGGCAAAGCTTTCTCTCAAAACAATACTTTCTAATATTGTCTGCAGAATGGCGAAGGTGCATAAAGACGCTAAATTCAGATACAGTGGGAGAAAAAGTATTTAGTCAGCCACCAATTGTGCAAGTTCTCCCACTTAAAAAGATGAGAGGCCTGTAATTTTCATCATAGGTACACGTCAACTAAAATCACATTGTAGGATTTTTAATGAATTTATTTGCAAATTATGGTGGAAAATAAGTATTTGGTCACCTACAAACAAGCAAGATTTCTGGCTCTCACAGAGCTGTAACTTCTTCTTTAAGAGGCTCCTCTGTCCTCCACTCGTTACCTGTATTAATGGCACCTGTTTGAACTTATCATCAGTATAAAAGACACCTGTCCACAACCTCAAACAGTCACACTCCAAACTCCACTATGGCCAAGACCAAAGAGCTGTCAAAGGACACCAGAAACAAAATTGTAGACCTGCACCAGGCTGGGAAGACTGAATCTGCAATAGGTAAGCAGCTTGGTTTGAAGAAATCAACTGTGGGAGCAATTATTAGGAAATGGAAGACATACAAGACCACTGATAATCTCCCTCGATCTGGGACTCCATGCAAGATCTCACCCCGTGGGGTCAAAATGATCACAAGAACTGTGAGCAAAAATCCCAGAACCACACGAGGGGACCTAGTGAATGACCTGCAGAGAGCTGGGACCAAAGTAACAAAGCCTACCATCAGTAACACACTACGCCGCCAGGGACTCAAATCCTGCAGTGCCAGACGTGTCCCCCTGCTTAAGCCAGTACATGTCCAGGCCCGTCTGAAGTTTGCTAGAGTGCATTTGGATGATCCAGAAGAGGATTGGGAGAATGTCAGATGAAACCAAAATATAACTTTTTGGTAAAAACTTAACTCGTCGTGTTTGGAGGACAAAGAATGCTGAGTTGCATCCAAAGAACACCATACCTACTGTGAAGCATGGGGGTGGAAACATCATGCTTTGGGGCTGTTTTTCTGCAAAGGGACCAGGACGACTGATCTGTGTAAAGGAAAGAATGAATGGGGCCATGTATCGTGAGATTTTGAGTGAAAACCTCCTTCCATCAGCAAGGGCATTGAAGATGAAACGTGGCTGGGTCTTTCAGCATGACAATGATCCCAAACACACCGCCCGGGCAACGAAGGAGTGGCTTCGTAAGAAGCATTTCAAGGTCCTGGAGTGGCCTAGCCAGTCTCCAGATCTCAACCCCATAGAAAATCTTTGGAGGGAGTTGAAAGTCCGTGTTGCCCAGCGACAGCCCCAAAACATCACTGCTCTAGAGGAGATCTGCATGGAGGAATGGGCCAAAATACCAGCAACAGTGTGTGAAAACCTTGTGAAGACTTACAGAAAACGTTTGACCTGTGTCATTGCCAACAAAGGGTATATAACAAAGTATTGAGAAACTTTTGTTATTGACCAAATACTTATTTTCCACCATAATTTGCAAATAAATTCATTAAAAATCCTACAATGTGATTTTCTGGATTTTTTTTCCTCATTTTGTCTGTCATAGTTGACGTGTACCTATGATGAAAATTACAGGCCTCTCTCATCTTTTTAAGTGGGAGAACTTGCACAATTGGTGGCTGACTAAATACTTTTTTCCCCACTGTATGCTGTCATTGTTTTAGCATTATCCATTAAGTTTTTTTTAACTACGGCACGCAAAATGGTTCAATGCGCCAATAAATCAGCACAATCTACTATTGCGGCTTTTCAAATTGCCGGCGTCTTGGAGCTAAAATTGGGATCATGTATACTGTGCTAATGCTAGGGCTGGCATAATTACCGTATAACAAAAGGTTATGGATGAAGACCGTAAAATAACACTTTTACAAAAAAAAAAACAGCCCGGCATTTGCGCGGTTGAGTCCATTTCTGCGATTACATGGTCTCTTAAAAATGTGATGAAACTTTGTTGCTCCTTGCTGAAACAAGCAAGGTGTTGAACAAGCAATGAATAGAATGGGCTTGTAAGCTCTAACCCTGGCAATTTGACTGGTAAACTCATGGGTACACTCGCAATGGCTGCCTGGTATTGTGATGCCATAATTTCCATGGTAATGTAGAATGTTCATTCAAATAAGGAATTAGAATACTGTAAGTTAATAGGACCTCTATGATTCAAATGATGTTAACTGATGTGGCTCATGCAATGGGATGTATTTTTTGTAATGTCAGTTGAGTTGAATCAACAAATCACAGCACATATTGATGGTTTTTACTTCCTGCTTTTACTTCCTGCCTTGTTCCTATGGGTACACTCGCAATGGCTGCCAGTCCACCCATTATGCCATCATTGACTTGAATGGTGACGCTAACTCTATTTCTATGGCAGCACATGCAGTCCGGAGCGGAGGAAAGGAGAAAATGTGCGTCAAAAAAAACAAAAAAATGTGGCTGGCCAATTACAGTCATCCAAAATTCCAACACACAAAAAAGAGTAACTGAGAGCAATGTACAATAGGGCAAACTTAGAAAACAAGGCATTTGTCATAAGTGCATGGGGCCTGCCACTTTTATGCACCTCCGCTATTCTGCTTTCCATGTCAATCAACAACACTGTAGACGTTATGATGTTGATGATGCTTCTCACCCATTTAACTCGAAAGCTCGGATGAGGATGTGCTGTAGCACCTCTAGTGACGTTATCTGAGGATCCACAGCAAATGAGCGGAACTCCACTGGCAGCATCCCCTCACACTTCTGAGGAAGGTGAGAAACAATCATGTAATTGTAACCATTCATTGAGGTACATTGTAGGCCTATTTTATAACATACAGTCGTGGTCAAAGGTTTTGAGAATGACACAAATACTAATTTTCACAAAGTCTGCTGCCTCAGTTTTGATGATGGCAATTTGCATATACTCCAGAATGTCATGAAGAGTGATCAGATGAATTGCAAAGTCCCTCTTTGCCATGAAAATGAACTTAATCCCCAAAAAACATTTCCACTTCATATCAGCCCTGCCACAAAAGGACCAGCTGCCATGTCAGTGATTCTCTCATTAACACAGGTGAGAGTGTTGACGAGGACAAGCCTGGAGATCACTCTGTCATGCTGATTGAGTTAGAATAACAGACTGGAAGCTTTAAAAAGGAGGGTGGTGCTTGAAATCATTGTTCTTCCTCTGTTAACCATGGTTACCTGCAAGGAAACACGTGCCGTCATCATTGCTTTGCACAAAAAGGGCTTCACAGGCAAGGATATTGCTGCTAGTAAGATTGCACCTAAATCAACCATTTATTGGATCATCAAGAACTTCAAGGAGAGAGGTTCAATTGTTGTGAAGAAGGCATCACGGCGCCCAAGAAAGTCCAGCAAGCTCCAGGATCGTCTTCTAAAGTTGATTCAGCTGCGGGATCGGGGCACCACCAGTGCAGAGCTTGCTCAGGAATGGCAGCAGGCAGGTGTGAGTGCATCTGCATGCACAGTGAGGCGAAGACTTTGAGGATGGCCTGGTGTCAAGAAGGGCAGCAAAGAAGCCACTTCTCTCCAGGAAAAACATCAGAGACAGACTGATATTCTGCAAAAGGTACAGGGATTGGACTTCTGAGGACTGGGGTAAAGGCATTTTCTCTGATGAATCCCCTTTCCAATTGTTTGGCGCATCCGGGAAATACCTTGTCCGGAGAAGACAAGGTGAGTGCTACCATCAGTCCTGTGTCATGCCAACAGTAAAGCATCCTGAGACCATTCATGTGTGGAGTTGCTCCTCAGCCAAGGGAGTGGGCTCACTCACATTTCTTCATTCGGAAAGTATTCAGACCCCTTGACTTTTTCCACTTTGTTACGTTACAGCCTTATTCTAAAATTGATGAAATTATTTTTTCCCCCTCAATCTACACACAACACCCCATAATGACAAAGTGAAAACAGTTTTTTAGCAAATGTATACAAATTAAAAAAACAGAAATACCTTATTTACATAAGTATTCAGACCCTTTGCTATGAGACTCGAAATTGAGCTCAGGTGCATCCTGTTTCCATTGATCATCCTTGAGATGTTTCTACAACTTGATTGGAGTCCACCTGTGGTTAGCCACCTGTGGCCTCCAACATTAATGGAAGAAGTTTGGAACCACCAAGACTCTTCCTAGAGCTGGCCACGCGGCCAAACTGAGCAATCGGGGGAGTAGGGCCTTGTTGGTCACTGACAGTGCTCCAGTTCCTCTGTGGAGATGGGAGAACCTTTGAGAAGGACAGCCATCTCTGCAGCACTCCACCAATCAGGCCTTTATGGTAGAGTGGACAGACGGAAGCAACTCCTCAGTAAAAAGGCACATGACAGCCTGCATGGAATTTGCCAAAAGGCACCTAAAGGACTCTCAGACCATGAGAAACAAGATTCTCTGGTCTGAGGAAACCAAGATTGAACTCTTTAGCCTGAATGCCAAGCGTCACGTCTGGAGGAAACCTGGCACCATCCCTACGGTGAAGCGTGGTGGCAGCATCATGCTGTGGGGATATTTTTCAGCGGCAGGGACTGGGAAACTAGTCAGGATCGAGGGAAAGATGAACGGAATAAAGTACAGAGAGATCCTAGATGAAAACCTGCTCCAGAGCACTCAGGACCTCAGACTGGGGCGAAGGTTCACCTTCCAACAGGACAACGACCATAAGCACACAGCCAAGACAATGCAGGAGTGGCTTCAGGACAAGTCTGTGAATGTCCTTGAGTGGCCCATGCAGAGCCCGGACTTGAATCCAATCGAACATCACTGGAGAGACCAGAAAATAGCTGTGCAGCGACGCTCCCCATCCAACCTGACAGAGCTTGAGAGGATATGCAGAGAAGAATGGGAGAAACTCCCCAAATACAGGTGTGCCAAGCTTGTAGCATAATATCCAAGAAGACTCCAGGCTGTAATCGCTGCTAAAGATGCTTCAAAGTACTGCGTAAAGGGTCTGAATACTTATGTAAATGGAATATTTCCGTAAAATAATAAATATATATATATGCAAAAATTTATAAAAACCTGTTTTTGCTTTGTCATTATGGGGTATTGTGTGTAGATTGATGAGGAAAAAAATATATTTAATCAATTTTAGAATAAGGCTGTAACGTAACAAAATGTGGAAAAAGTGAAGGGGTCTGAATACTTTCCGAATGCACTGTATTCACCTGTATTTACCCACCAAAGATTAAACGCTAATTAGCTGCTAATGTGGCTATCATAAAGAACTACAAATGCCATGATCTGGACGAGACTGCCGAATCGAGACAAAGGTAAGAATCTCTCGATTAACTATCTAATGTTAGCTAAACGTAGTAATGAATAAATTGGCTACATTTCTTTAAATTGACAATTTTGTGAACTGTCTTGTGCAAGTTTTAAATTTAGACAATACCTGTTAGCAAAGGTGTCAGCTAGAGATGATGTGCAGGAGCTTGCAGGGATTTTTAGTTTTGCATGATGTCTACTTTGATGCTAATTAGCATTTGAATCTGAGACTAAATAAAGCCAAGCATACTGATAAAAGTCACCTTGTCCGAGAGACACCAGGATAAGCCTACACGAAACACAGCTCTTATTTTAAGTGTTTCTAAAATCTCCTATGGGAAATGGATAGTGGGAAATGATTGGAACCATTTCCTTGTTTGACTGCTAGGTTTTATGACACCGCCACTGTGGGGCTCTATATGGTGGAGTTTAGTTTAGTCAGCTATCTGTCACCAGGGGAGTGTTCATTGCAACTTGCATTGGAAACAATTTACCGTTTAAGAACCAAACAGAAGCAAACAGAGCAAACGAAAAGGTGAGGGAGTCCGGGACCTACCTGAATTGGTCTAATAATAGTAACTCTCGTTTTCGTTGCAAAACGGTTTCAGTTTGGAGTAAATCGGCTTGCATTTTGCAACAAGACAAAACGTTTTGCAACTGAAACCGAATAATGAATAAACCCTCTAAAGAATACACCCCTGGGTTGTAATCATTATGCCGAATCTGTTGCAAAACCTATCTGAATGTGTCCAATAGAAACTCTCGTTTGCATTTGGTAAATGGTTTGTTGCAAAACTTTCGCAACTGGCGAAACTTTTTGAAACAGAATCAGCGTAATGAATACACCCCTGGAGTGGTGATGTTTACTAAATGACTCACTTGTACTAAAAACCATCTAGCTAACTTCATATCACCCAGCCACGTCACTGTGGGGTTCTGTCTGTGAATCGCTGAATTCATTATTTGGAATAACACAATTAACCTACTAGCTAACTGTCAAGACTTGTTAAGATCAGTTGACTTACAATCTTGCTTTCTATGCTTTTCCGAGTGCATGATCACAACGCATCACATCAGCAGGTAAACCCATTGTCAATCCCCGAATCTCCCTAATCTGTTAGCTAGATTTATTTTTCTTAAATCAATTATTGACTTTTTGTAGTCAGAAGATCCAAGAGGGTTGGTTACGGTAGAATAATGCCGCGTTCAAAACAACTTGGAAATCTGACATTTTCAAATTCCGATTTCAGCGTGTTTTTTTACCCCTGGGAACTCGGGGAAAAAACGAGCTCCACAGGAATGGTCATACAATTATGAATTCCAAGTCAGAAACGTGTGCATCGTTCTTGACCTCCGACTTTCGACCTGAAGATCACTGACGTCAAGATTTGACCCCCCTCCTCCTTGTCTTGAAAACACCATACTGTACACTTTTCTCATTAGATGTTAGCAACAGCAGGCTCAATGCTAAAAACAAAAAACAAAGCACTGGTCTGGACTGGGCAGATGAAGTGAATTAGCAGTTCCAACATCAAGAAGGCACGCTACAAGCTACAGCAAATGTCATGTGAAATGGCTCAAATACGTCGGCCACAGTGATGACAATAGCTAGCTAGCTATCTATCTGGAAATGTGATACCTGTCAAAATACGCCAGGGTAGCCCAGCTAGCTAGCCGCTGCTATTCCATCATTCACATCTTCCTCACCTTGACTTTGACACGCACTACGCCCCTCTCCTCCTCAGTTGCCATGTTTAGGAGTTCACTGGACATAAGACCGTTGTATTCACTTTATATTTTTCTTATATTATAGCCATTTGTAAAACGAGAAGAGACCGATTGCGGCGACTCATTTTCTCCGTCGCCGCTTTGTCCAGACCTGTAAATCTGCAAGAATAAGATAAATCTATTTCCTGTTTGACTGGAATGAGCTATCAAAATAAAAGCGCTTCTCAAACATTTGCAGGACTTCACTGAAGCTCATTTACCAATTTATCAATGCTTATTTCCGTTATGTTTTGAATAACAAGAAACAGAAAACAGATATAATGTACAGATTTACTAAACCATTTGTCAAAAATACCTTTCTTGGTAACAAATGAGGACTTTTAATATTGCAAAAAATGATTGAAGTTTCAGCATTTACGAATGGAAATCAGGATATGACGCTTATATACATTACATCATTTAGTGATGCTTCTGAATCTTTTTTTGTTTTGCATGCAGAGGAATGCTATAATCACCAGTATTTTACATCGGTATGACAATTAGTTGGAATCTACAAATTATATGGTCACGGTTAGTGTGACATGGTTGCAATCAATTCCATTTTAAATTAGGAGATTGGAAAACAATAATTGAAAACAGCAATTTCTTTTTAATGAGGGTTTTCCAATTCTTGAATTCACCTTGCATACATACTTCACCCCTTCCTTAGAGAGTGCTGAGTGTTCTATCCATAAACTTTTACGAAAGCGCTGAGTCACTACAACACAACACCTTTTGTTAAAAGAGTCATGCTTGATTTATGGTGGCATTTGGGCATGGTATTTTGGAAAAAATAGATGTTCCAGATGTTTTATTTTATTTAAATTTATTTTTGGTACATCTTCCCATTCTACATCAACTAAATTGAACAAAAATACACTACATGGCCAAAAGTGCTTGTCGAACATCTCATTCCAAAATCATGGGCATTAATATGGAGTTGGTCCCCCCTTTGCTGCTATAACAGCCTCCACTCTTCTGGGAAGGCTTTCCACTAGATGTTGGAACATTGCTGCTGGGACTTGCTTCCATTCAGCCACAAGAGCATTAGTGAGGTCGGGTACTGATGTTAGACAATTAGGCCTGGCTCGCAGTCGGCGTTCCAATTCATCACAATGGTGTTCGATGGGGTTGAGGTCAGGGCTCTGTGCAGGCCAGTCAACTTCTTCCACAACGACCTTGTCAAACCATTTCTGTATGGACCTCGCTTTGTGCACGGGGCATTGTCATGCTGAAACAGGAAAGGGCCTTCCCCAAACTGTTGCCACAAAGTTGTAAGCACTGAATCGTCTAGAATGTCACTGTATGCTGTAGCGTTAAGATTTCCCTTCACTGGAACTAAGGGGCCTAGCCCGAACCATGAAAAACAGCCCCAGACCATTATTCCTCCTCCACCAAACTTTACAGTTGGCACTATGCATTGGGGCAGGTAGCCTTCTCCTAGCATCCGCCAAACCCATATTAGTCCGTCAGACTGCCAGATGGTGAAGCGTGATTAATCACTCCAGAGAACGCGTTTCCACTGCTCCAGAGTCCAATGGCGGTGAGCTTTACATCACTACAGCCAACGCTTGGCATTGCGCATGGTGATCTTAGTCTTGTGTGTGACTGCTCGGCCATGGAAACCCATTTCATGAAGCTCCCGACTAACAGTTATTGTGCTGAAGTTACTTCCAGAGGCAGTTTGGAACTCGGTAGTGAGTGTTGCAACCGAGGACAGACTATTTTAATGCGCTACGCGCTTCAGCACTCGGCAGTCCCGTTCTGTGAGCTTGTGTGGCCTACCACTTCGCGGCTGAGCCGTTGTTGCTCCTAGACGTTTCCACTTCACAATAACAGCCCTTACAGTTGACCAGGGCAGCTCTAGCAGGGCAGAAATTTGACGAACAGACTTGTTGGAAAGGTGGCATTCTATGACGGTGCCACGTTGAAAGTCACTGAGCTCTTCAGTACGGCCATTCGAATACTAATGTTTGTCTATGGAGATTGCATGGCTGTGCATTCGATTTTATACACCTGTCAGCAACGGTGTGGCTGAAATAGCCGAATCCACAATTTGAAGGGATGTCCACAAGTGTATAAACGTAACATGTAAAGTGTTGGTCCCATGTTTCATGAGCTGAAATAAAAGATCATACACACAAAAAGCTTTTTCCTCTCAAATTTTGTGCACAAATTTGTTTACATCCCTGTTAGTGTGCATCTCTCCTTTGCCAAGATAATCCATCCACCTGACAGTTGTGACATATCAAGAAGCTGATTAAATGGCATGATCATTACACAAGTGCACTTTGTGCTGGGGACAATAAAAGGCCACTCTAAAATGTGCAGTTTTGTCACACAACACAATGCCACAGATGTCTCAAGTTGAGGGAGCGTACAATTGGCATGCTGACTGCATCAATGTCCACCAGAGCTGTTGCTAGAGAATTTAATGTTCATTTCGCTACCATAAGCTGCCTCCAACATCGTTTTAGAGAATTTGGCAGTACGTCCAACCGGCCTCACAACCGCAGACCACGTGTATGGTGTTGTGTGGGCAAGTGGTTTGCTGATGTCAACGTTGTAAACAGAGTGCCCCATAGTGGCGGTTGGGTTATGGTATGGGCAGGCATAAGCTACGGACAAAGAACACAATTGCATTTTATCTATGTCAATTTGAATGCACAGAGATACCGTGACGAGATCCTGAGGCCCATTGTCGTGCCATTCATCTGCCACCATCACCTCATGTTTCAGCATGATAATGGACTGCCTGCCCCATGTTGCAAGGATCTGTACACAATTCCTGGAAGCTGAAAATGTCCCCTTTTTTACATGGCCTGCGTACTCACCAGACATGTCACCCATTAAGCATGTTTGGGATGCTCTGGATTGACGTGTACGACAGCGTGTTCCAGTTCCCCCCAATATTCAGCAACTTCGCACAGCCATTGAAAAGGAGTAGGACAACATTCTGCAGGCCACAATCAACAGCCTTATCAACTCTATGCGAAGGAGATGTGTTGCTCTGCATGAGGCAAATGGTGGTTACACCAGATACTGACTGTTTTTCTGATCCATGCCCCTACGTTTTTTTAAAGGTATCTGTGACCAACAGATGCATATCTGAATTCCCAGCCATGTGAAATCCATATATTAGGGCCTAATGAATTTATTTCAATTGACTGTTTTCTGTATATGAACTGTAACTCAGTAAAATATTTGAAATTGTTGCATGTTGAGTTTATATTTTTGTTCAGTATAATATGGCAGTTTAATGACTTTAAATACTTTTTACCATTATGATAACATTGTGCCACGAGTAGGCGTAGTAACATCAATGATGGTAACACCTGTCATGTTGTATAATGATAGGAGACAGGCGCAGGAATACATAATAGGGGTTTTATTTTACTCCAGCCAACACAAGGTACGTCATGAAAAAACGACGGGAACGAAGTCCAAAACAAACACATATTTATAACAAAGGGATGAATCCCAAACAAAAAAGCGAGGCGTAAACCTCTAAATAATACACGGGACGAGACCCGTAATAACAAGTGCCCAATCCCACGGTATGTAATCCAAAGTACTCACGAGACCAACGGACATGGGACAATTATCGACAAGGACAATGGGGAACAGAGGGCACATAAATTATTTACACATATCAGGGGGAATGGGAACCAGGTGTGCGTAATGAGACAAGACAGTCAAGATGGTGGTAATGATCTAGTGGTAATGATCTAGTTCAGTGACACCAAGAAGGCCGGTGACGTAGACCTCCGGAGCTGGTGAACGGAATGAGCAGCAGTACTGGGGGGATCCGTGACAACACCAATGCCAAATTTGACATACTTGAGGATTTTCATTAAATGGAAGCCACAGATCAAATGCTCAATATAAAACTATAAAACCAGTTATTATGCTGTTAGTATATATTAATTAACGTACGACTTGATACACATTTGGATGTTTTATCATTTTTGTTAGTCATACTTCACGATTCTTCTTTTTAGTCACTTCGCGAAGCAGACTCGACAGACCGGGCTTTGGCAAGTCAATGGGAGACATCCTTCGTCCTTAGTTGTTCATTTTCGCGAATTCTAAAGGCAAAACATAGGCTGTTAGCTGGCTAGCAACTAGCAGCCCATATGAAGTCTAAATAGGCTGTATTAGTCCATGGACCAGCAGGCCAAATTTCACATATTTGTCCACTTTGGGGTGGCAAAGTCTAATAATATGATTTTCATTAAGGTCCATGTCTGTGAGTTATATTTTGGTATGATAGCCACGTGTCGGAGTTGGATAAATGTGGTTATCACTGTATTATATGTTATGACTCCTATGTGGTTAGTTGGGCTAACAGGATTGAGGGTATGAAATGTAATTTTGTATTATCAGGGAACAATCTTCTCCAACTATGGCAATTTGATATGTTATTAACTTCATAATACAACACATTAAGGTTTGAAACAATAGGAACGGTAATGACCTCTCTATTTGCCCACCTTGGGGGGGGGTTAAAGGTCATACATGTATGCATTTTGGGGTATATAGAGCCAGAATGGACAGTATTGGGATGTGCTCTATTATCACATGGTACCCTAGATGATAACTACTCCAAAGTTCATACAGAACAAGGAAACCTGCCACCATACATTGCACCCTATATGAAATCCCATAGGAATGTGTTACGTTGAGCAAAGAGGTACAGGTAAGCCATTTTTGCAAAATGCCTTCATAATGAGTACACCAAACTTTACATAAAGCTAGGAAAAGTCTAAACGATGATGCCTAGCTATTGCTGATTCAACCAACATATTTTCCCAAATGCCCGCCAGCCTGTTCCATTGGTATTAAAATGATTGGTCTGACATTGCCACAACTCTTTCAGTAATTGGTGGAATATGCCCAATTATCATTTTAAAATGTAGATCAAATTAGCCAGGTTTGCAAAATAAAAATATAATTGTTGTAATACAGTATATTAGCAAAATTGTTCAAAACATTTGGGAAAAATACTATAAATATAACCGTTTTTGGTCAGTATTTTCATCCCTAATTTCTATATTTTATATTCAAACAATTAAAAATGTATCTATAATATCCCTAAAGGGATCTTTCACT